TTTTTTGGAGAGATTTTCACTATAGGGTGCGTGCGCTTGCCAGACAGACAGAGAGAGACAGGGAGACAGAAAGCAAGAAATCACCCCCCAGGGGGGATGGTCACGCTGCAATCCCTTCTCCTCCATTCTCCTCTCGGGATCTTGGGCACGCACGCACACGCGCCCGGCGTGAGTTTTAAGCCACCTGGTCCGGGACGCAAACCGCGGTTGGCTACGTGGGAGTCCAGCGACATAGCCGTTACGCTAACTGCTGGTTCCCGTGAGACCTTCTTGACATTTGAGAACTGAGCTCAACTTTGCTCATAGACAAGGGGCTCTCAGGGCCCATTCTCCAATAAACAGCAACCAAAATAGGAGGCAAAAATAACAGGGTCAATTAGCCATGGTGTGTGAAAGTCTTTTCTGTGGGTTTCTTACACTTTAAGCTCCTGGGAAAATAAGAAAGGGGTACTTGGTGCTCTTTGTGTACCCTCTGCTCTTCCACCCCACCCTGCAGCATCTCACCCTGCCTCAGTCACAGCATGGCCTTCTGTGGTTAGCTATGGGAAGGCCTAGGTTCTTTTAATGCGGTGAGTTTCCTCCTGCTCACAAGCTTCCTTCCTCCTCTGTGTATGTTTTTCTGTGTGAGTTACAAGCCTAAAATTTTTAAAATGAGTTCAAGATCACCAGTCAGTCCCAGTACTGGGTCTAAGGTGTGGGGTGGCGCTCCACCTGGACTGTGCTTTGAGATGATTGCTCTACCTGCCTGCTTTCTGGACTTGCTGCTTTTTACCTAAATCAGCCCCATCTTAACATGACCCAGGGGTCTGGGAAGATGAGGGTCCACACTCATGAGATCAGGAGCACTCACTCGTAAACACAGTGTGCAGCAGTGACAATCCACAGGGGTGTGATGACAGAGCCCCCACACAGGTGGTAGCCTTGGAACTGCAGGCTGACCTGCCAGGGCCACTGTGCGAGTGAGGACGTGTTTCCACCAACGATGCGTGAGCTGTAGCCCATCCTCAGACCGCAGGCTGCAAAGGGAGACAGGGCTTGTGAGCAGACTTCCTGAGCTCCTGTGGGGAATAAGACCAGCTCCTCTCTCTCCCAACACTGCTGCCCCCACGCCACAGAGCTCCTGGCAGTTTTAAGACGAGCTACAAAGGGGAGTCAGGACAGGTGGGGCACTGTAGGGTGCAGTGGGAGGAGCCCACCTGGCTCAGTCTGCCCTGTGTGGTATTGATGGCACTCTCAGTGTCCAGACCCCAGGATGCTGATCACACCCAGGGATGTCCGCCAGCTTCCAAGGGCAGCAGGCAGGAACCTTCTGCAGCCCCTCCCCAGGACCACAGTGCTGGCCTGCATTTCTCTGGTGTCTCCAGACCCAACCATCTGCCAGGAGCAATGGGCACCTGCCTGCCAGACCCTGTGACAGGACATCATGGACCTTGGTCCTGTCTGCAGCTAAGAATCCCCCTCGGCTGCCTCTTCCACCTGACAAGTGAGGCTGACAGGCGAGGCCAACGTTGCTCTCTGTGCTCCGCCAGGTGGGGTACACAGACTTCCCACCTGGCACCTGGGAGGAAGGATCTCCGAGCAGCCCTTAGAGGGGCAGGAGATGAGGGGAGGTAGGGGTCTGAGGCAACATGGGCTTCCATTTGATATTCCGTGTTGCTAAAACTCTTACCTGTGCACTTCAAGGTAACCACGTGACCTGAGGTACATCCTTCCCTACATTGGAAAAAAAGTGAGCTTCATGATATATATCTGAGACCTGTGAAGTAAACGCTTTCTAAACTTAATCTGGGGATAAAGGAAAAATAAACTCTATTCTCCTCACTCTTGAATATAGATTACAATTTTAGTTTATATATATATATATATATATAAAGCCATAAGAGTGAGACCACACAACCCACTACAAGACACTCGACTGGGCCTTTCAGGGCTGTGGTGGTCAGAGCGACTAGACCCCACATGGCCGACTGTGTGGCTCAAGGCCCAGTCCCAGTGACCTAAAGAAACAGGCTAGCATGTGTGCGTGTATGCCCAGCGTCCTGAAGGGAAGGAGAGTTGGAGGAGAGGGGATCGTGATGTGACCATTCCCTGTAGGGGTCCTCTCGCTCTCTCTCTCTCTCGCTCTCTCTTCTTTCTCTCTCGGGTGAGCACATACACTCTCTGGCACAAATGAATAAACGAAACAGAACACTTGACTGGGAGTGAAGCACTGTGTCTGTGACAGGCTGCTCAGTCCTTCTAAACTTCATAGAGCTAATGATAAAAGGTGCGTAAGGAGAGGAGCCATAGAAACGTGTGCTGTTGCCATCTGGTCATTTGTGTCAATTCACCCTACTGTTCTTCACCGCCTGGCCCTTGGGGAACACAGAGTTCACACACCCTGGATGGAGGGGACTCCTCCCTGGAGCAGCGAGATAGGATTAACCCAGAATGATACACAGTCACACCCACACATACCACCTTGGAAGGACCAGGGCGTGTGCTTTCCTCCTAATGAAGAGAAAGGGATCCCCAAATCTTTATAACCCTCCCTGCCTTCCTGCCTTCTGACCATCCAAGAGAAGTGGGTGTCACTAGACCGAGGACTTAGGACCCGGCAGATGAGCTGTCCCTCAGATTGCATGTGGGGCCCAGGGTGCTGGTTCCTTCCACACCCACAGGCCCGTCGTTTCCAGATCAGAGAACACATGTTCCCTGGGGTGTCAGAAAAAACTTGGGGCTTGGGTTCAGAATACCTGGCTGACTCTGCTACTCACTGTCTGGCCTGGGGCAAGGTGGTGCCCCCACGTACGCTTCAAATACCTGGTTGTCATGTAAGGACACGTGCCTTTGCCTTCCTGTGAGTTGTGGGGGTGAACAAATGAAATGTTTACCTGCGAAAGTACTTTGTAAGTAAATGGGGGAAGCTCTTTCTTAATTGTTTTCCCTTCCTTCCATCCCTCCCCTCTTCTTCCTTCCCCATCTGTTATGCCCCCTTCCTTTTTTTGCTGGCTTCCTTTCCCACATGCCTGGAGTGCCTGCCGCATGACAGGCACAGCCCCACCTCATCACATGTATGTCGCTATGACTCCTTTACTATACCTCATTCCCTTTCTTTCTTTGGGTCATATGTGCCCATTTTGGGGTTAGGTTCTTAGACCCTCCCCCCTACCTGATGCAACCCCAGTCTAAGCAAGGCAGTGCGGCTCTGCCCTTGCACCCTCATGCTTCTTGGGCCATTGTGGAGCTAAGCACAGTTTCACACACTCAGCAGGTGACTTCGTTCCAGAGTGGACGACTGCAGCCACCAAACACCTACCTCACATACACTGAGTGGTGCAATGCAGTCACCTTGTCATCTGGCAGGAGGTGATTGATGGATACGAAGTCCTCCTGGAACTGCTCCTCCAGTGAGTTCACTCTGAGGTTCTCCGAACTTACATAACTGCAAGTGCATTGGAAACACAGACCCGATGTGTGAAACTGACTCTGGAGTGTTGGAATCAACCTGTGCTCGTCACAGGTCTTTCAGGTCTCATACTTGGGGGGCATCATTTTGTCCTCCACAAAGAATCCATGGCCTCTCTCTACCAGTGGCGTAAGGTTCACACACCCTAGCAAGGCATGCCAGAGCCAGGATAATCTACCGGTGGCCCTACCCACAGCCCTGCCACCCATGGGTTCCTGCTGCACACAGGGAGGGCCACTTCCTGAAATAGCTAGCCAATTCCGGGTCCCACCTTCATACATTCGTCAGAAATGATCTGGCTTTCCCTGGAAAGCCTCAGAGAGAGCTGAACGCAGAACTAAGTTGAGTACTGTCAGATGTGCACCAAAATGAGGATGTCAAGCACCCAGAGAACAATGGGCTGGGGGTGAAAAGGAGCCTTCTCAGCACTAGCTGGGATTCCTGCT